GTTTAACCGATTAAATACAGTGCTGAGACGGATTCAAGCTTATGGTTTCAGAATCCGAGAAAACAAATGTGACTTATTCATACCCTCCGTCAAATATCTTGGTTTCATTCTGGACAAAGATGACCGTCGACCAGATCCAGAGAACATTAAAGCCATTCAAAATATGTCACCACCGAAGGATTTGACTACACTCAGATCATTTTTGGGCCTCGTAAGTCACTACAGTTCATTTGTTCCTAATTTGCATCGCGTCCGAGCTCCAATGAACCAACTTCTAGCCAAAGACCAACCATGGCATTGGTCAACAGAATGCCAGAATGCCTTCGATTGCGTCAAGTCAATGCTAAGCTCAGACCTGCTTCTGACACATTTTAATCCATCACATGATATCATTGTGGCAGCCGATGCTTCAAACAGAGGAATTGGTGCGGTCATCCCTCACAAGCTACCAGATGGGTCACAGAAGGCCGTTTCACATGCCGCTAGATCGTTAACTGCAACGGAGTGAAACTACAGTCAAATTTAAAAAGAAGCCCTAACTATCATCTTTGCTGCGATGAAGTTTCATAAAATGCTGTACGGTCAAACATTCGCGCTGCTCGCCGGCCATAAGCCGCTAAAAGCAATTTTCGGCTCCAAAAAAGGTATTTCAGTCTATACTGCTAACCGCCTTCAACGTATGGCGCTGATCCTTCTTAGCTACGATTTTGAGATCCGCTATCAACCGACTACCTCCTTTGATCAAGCAGATGCACTGTCAAGGCTTATCAACTCTCAACGACCAGAGCCCGAAGAAAGAGTCGTTGCTTCGATATCGGTGGAACCAGACGTCAAATTCCTCGTTACCAATGCTCTACGCAATACACTAGTAACAGCTGAAGAAGTTAGGGAGGAAACATGACACGACCGGCTGCTCAAGAAGATCACACAATTCCTCCACACTCGCTGGCCAAAATCGTACAACTCCACCGAATTGCGCCAGTTCTTCCAACGGAAAGATTCGTTGTCGATTGTGAACGGTTGCATTCTATTTGCTGAAAGAGTTGTGATTCTAAAGACGCTACAGGAAAGACTGCCCCAACAATTCCACACCGGACACCCGGGAATCAATCGCATGAAGACACTCGTCCGTAGTTACGTCTTTTGGCCGTTCATCGACAAACAACTGGAAGAACTCGTCCAAAACTGTCATCAATGCGCCTTTGCGTCCAAGATGCCAGTAAAAACCAAGCTTTCCGGTTGGCCAATTCCTGACAAACATTGGTCGCGTATTCACGTTGACTTTGCAGGACCGATCCATGGTTGTTCTTATCTTATCGCTATCGATGCCTTCAGCAAATGGCCCGAGATTTTCCTCGTGAATAGCCCTACGTCATCCTCAACAATCGAAAACGTCCGGCAGCTTTTTAGTCGTTTTGGTGTCCCTGAAACACTAGTTAGCGACAACGGCACTCAGTTCACATCACAAAAATTCAAAGAATTCTGCAAGCGGAATGGCATTACTCACGTACACTCCCCGCCCTATCATCCGCAATCAAATGGCCAAGCAGAGAGATTTGTGGATACCTTCAACCGGGCACTCCAAAAATCAAAAGGGGAGTGAGCAACCGCAGAATTGATCGCAAGGTTTCTGTTCCTATATCGATGCACTCCAAATCTGAACTCACCAAAAGGAGTTTCCCCAGCAGAGGCATTGATGAACCGAAAGTTAAGAATGCCGTTTGACCTGTTGCGCCTAACCACCTACAAAACTGAAAGGAACCGGAAAATGGAAGAACAGTTCAATCTTTGACACGGAGTCTTACAACGTTCCTTTGCCCCAGGTCAAGCAGTGTTAGCACGATGCTATGAAAAAGGCGGTTTTCGCTGGGCAACTGGCGGAATTCTGAGAAGACGTGCAGCTGTATTGTTTGAGGTACAAGTACAGTCCAAAATTTGGTTGCGTCACGCAAATCAATTAAGGCCAACGAAATGCCACGAAGAAAGGTCTCAAAGTCCACAACTACCCTTCGACATGTTGTTGGATACCTTCAGTTTGCCGAGAGCATCACAGCCAAGTGAAGTACAGCAACAACCACAACTTTTACTAAGTCAACGTACAAGCAGAAAACGGACGCAAACCACAAGACTGCAAATCAACCCCAAAGTGCAAACGTACATCTCAAAAGGGGAGGTGTTAGGACGGAACGCACAAAATTCGTCCTGCCACGCAGCGACGCGCGTCACACCACAAGTGCGCTCGTGACGCCCAAGCCGAATCGACTCCTGATTAGATGACTAAGGCGAATCAAATAGCTGTTGTCCGGTCGATTAACCTGAGTGTTAAGGTCACGATCTGATTGGCGCGTCACCACGTCTGCTCGCGTACGCCCAACTGACCACATATATTTGCTTGTTGTTTCATGATCAAATATACACTTTGACTGTCGTTTCTCAGCAGTGTTCTTTCTCCAGTTGTTGGGGCCTAGACAAAGAGGCGTACGTATCGATCACATCGTCTTGACACAAGACATAACACAGTGTCATAATTTTCCTTCGCGTCTCTAGGCCTGCATTATGTGAATTTTACTTACGTGCATGTAAAAATGTGTTCATTATCCAGGTGCGCATATTTGTGCATTGCAAGCAGATACTGCACTCCTCCCCTCTACCTTTTCAGGTTCCTCCTTTCAATTACCTGGATCCCCATTGAATTCCCCTCACTAGCGGGCCGTGCCCTCAAATTCTCGTCAGAGGGCATTACCCATCAATCGAAAACTGACAAACCAAGATCCGGGACCATCGGGCTTAGCTTGGAACCCGTGAAATACTTCAAGACTTCAAGACATTAACCTAAACTGAACTGAACAACCTTGAACGCTCGGTTCAAAGTGTTGATTTGGTAAATTGTAGTCTGGTAATTACAAGTTACTGTGAGTGAAAGCTGCTGAAACCCCTGCAAATCGTGTAAAAGTCCGTAAAGCCGCTCAGTGAAGATATTCGGTGAGTCCTCGGGTGCGAAATTTTGAAATCAGTGATTTCATTGCACAAGACGCTTTGCATAGAGAAAAGAACTGCATATTGCAAGCTCTTAAATGTCAGAAAGTGATATCTAACGGAATTCAGTGTGATTGCTGCGGTTACTGGTACCACCAAGGGGGTGCCCGCATAGAAAGTAACGCCCACGAACCTTACGTGGGAAAGGACGCCTTACAGTGGCTCTGCTACATATGCATAGCACCGGCGGAGGGAGCAGGTCCACAACCCAATCTAAATAGAAATTCCTGTGGTGAAAACCTACACTAAGTCCGTCACCCATAATACTGAACATCTCAGCCCTATCATCGATTCGCACATCTTTTTATCCCACCCACTCCGGTTGCACATGTTGACAAGCCAGCAGTACTCACCTTTACACCCATTCTAGATCCAGTACACTGATCAACCTACATAGCTGATCAGTGGAACGAATATTCTTCTGGTGAATACCTTTGTTACATGCCTAGTCTGTTTTTATGCCGTAGTGAGAAATCGGATTTATTCAGTTCGCCTTTGTTGCCATTGCATAGTGTGTCTAGTGGCAATATTTGGTGACTTTTTTTATAGATACCAGTTGGTAGTCGTCTACTTGACTGTCCGGAACTTCTAAGATTAAATCGCACGACAACTTGCATGCTTCCTTCTCTCCCACTCCCTCAACAGCTAGGTTAGGTCAGGTCAGGTCAGGTCACAGGACTAGCGGCTGATGCCAAACGAGCGTCCAGTTTATTGCGCAGTCGAGCTCCAAAGTTCTCAATGCGCTTCGACAGCTTTTGAAATTCTCGCCTCACTTGGCGGTGTTTTCTTCAGTACGATCCAGTATGGGCCACTTGAGTGTTTATGCTTATCCATGAAGCTGGGTTAAAACCTAGACTGTTTTGCGTTTCTGTCTTCCTTTCCAGAGATCTGCTGCTGTAAGAAAAAAGGGCA